TTCCTGGGCCTGTTTTATGTGAATTTCTCTCCAGAAATGTTCAGAAAGTGGCCATAATGTGCACAGACCTCAAATCCCCTTCACCTGCATGTAAAGGATCTCCTCATCACTGAGGAGTGCTGACTTGTTCTATGGATTTACTGACTGAAAGAGCAACTGCAGTGAAGAGAGTGATTAAACCGAAGCTGTTGCAGTGGGTTCATCCTAAATTGTCTGGAAATTATCGTGCACTGGGGAAAGTCTATTCGGTATGGAAGCTGTGCTGGCGCAGGGTGGGTGTGACTGCAGCCGTGGAGTGACAGGCTGAGCCCTGTGCCCTGAGCCTGGCACCGTCCGGCCCCAGGCCCCACGTGGCGCCAAACTGCAGGGAAAGCTGCTCTGCTGACAGTTCAAAAGGAAGATAATTGGCATGGGGATAGTTAATGTGAGTTGCCATTCCTTAACATCAGAGCTTCACTAAAGTACCAATAATTACTGTTAATATCTTTCAGTGGAAACTTTCCGAGCAAGCGAGTACGGGTTGAGGCAGCGTTTAACGGCCGCCGCTGGCGTGATCGGAATGCAAATAAGCGTTATTAGCCTAATGATTTTGCTGTCACCACGGTGTGCAGCAGTAGTGTTGTGAATATGTCATGCAGTACCCGTGAATTTGGAAAGTGTGTCAAAACACAACTTCAATTAGTTTGCTCTAATTATGGCTCTAGAGAGTTCATAACTGTATCACTCCTCATTAAAAGAGATTTTCGCGTGTGGATTAACACAGCACATGAAGGGGAGCGGGAGCGGCCGAGGCTGGGCCATGTGGGGAGGCCGTGGGGCGCTGGGCCGTGCACCGGGTCCAGTCCCATGCCCTGAACTCCTGGGGCAGGGCCAGGTCCAGTCCTGTGCCCTGAGCTCCCAGGGCAGGGCTGGGGCTGGGATACCTCCCGGGGCAGGGCCGGGTCCAGCCCTGAGCTCCTGGGATGGGGCTGGGAAACCTCCCGGGCAGGAGTGGACGACTGGGACAGATCAGCCATGGGCAGCGGCTTCAGTGTCCCTCGGCACAGGAGCCTGGTGGGTGATTCTGGACAGGCTCCTCAAGTAAAACTAACCAAACCTACACTAAACTCAAACAACAACAAACACCAAAACCCCTGGAAGGACCCACACTCGATGCAAAACCAGAGATGTGGCCTGCCAGCTTTGCTCTGGGAGGGTTGAAGACCGGGCCAGCCCGGGCTCTCCGGAAGAGCCCTCAGGGGTCCTGGTGTCTGCCCCTTCCCCAGTGTCTACAGAGCCTTTTGCACTGTCTTGTCACAGTGCCTTGACGCCTCCCCGCTTTGAGAACATCAAAAGATTGGTGTGCTCACAGGTGAGCAGCTGGGGAAGGGTTAAAGGAGTAATTGTTTAAATCTTTTAGGCTTTCCTCCCAGTTCTGTGATAATTTGATGAAGAACTTCACCCTAATTAAATATTCAAATTAGGAATAAGTGTCAATATGGCTTCCCATTGCCTGGAATGATGATTAATTGTATTCAAAACTCTAGTGGCCGCTGTAATCTAAACCAAACCGTTGTTCTTGATTATTTGTGCAACGCATTCACCATGTTTTTTGTTTTAAAATTTAAACTAGTAATTCATTTGCCATATGCCGCGGAGCTGCACATACTTTCACGATGTGTTTAGGAACTTGGGGACTTTGTAATTGGGATTTTCTTGCTTTTCAATGGCAGCCTCTTTATTTTTGTCTTCTGCGATGCAAAGTGATTTGGCTCTCACAACACATAAGGAAAATGCATTATGCAATCAACTTTGTAGGTATAAGTTATATTGATCCTTGCCAAAGTTTACATTAATTTCAAGTAAATTAGGCTTTGTTTCCCATTTCTCCCTACAATGTCATGCTTTCATGAGAAGGAAGGGGGAAGGGGAGTGCTGATTTCCATCCAGCAGTCACTGCTGTCTCACGGTCTTGCAGCTCAGTGTTCTTCTCGGAGACACCTCCCTGCTGTCCACACGCAGCTCTCGGGGCGATGGGATGCCCATTGGTTGTCCTGCCTCAGGGCTGGCAAGTGGCCCTGGAGGGCACAGGAAGGGAGTGTTGCCAAGCGATGGGAGATCGCCGTGGAGGGCAAAGGGGGTTCGTTGTGGAGCCGGGCAGGGGGGGCTGGCACGTGCTCCTCCCGTGCCCGTGTGGTCAGTCCCTCGGCGAGCGATTCGTGTCCATCGTGGCACCGCACACCCTCTGGCCTCTGGCACCGGGCGCTGCCCGGGGCGGCTCCGAGCAAGGGGCAGGGCTCGGCCTGCAGCATGCGCTGCACACACTCCGCAGAAATCTGCCTCTTTAGTAGATCTGCTTTGTGTGCTTCAGAACAATTCCTGCCGCTCTGTTTGGGGTGGAGACAGCCAGAGAAACCAAAAGTCTTTCTATTGGCTATTTTGGTGCCTTGGAAAGTATTTTTGGATTCTGCTATTAAAAACCAAATGAAAGTGTGTCATGCCCACAGGCAGTGGTCTCCAGTTTTAAAGTGTGTTCATGGCAAACCTGCTTCTGCTCCAGGGACTCTCATGTGGATTGTGTTTGAAACAGCAAATGGATAGCCAAATTCAAATATATTTTCACACCATCTTTTTTTTGTTAGAAATAGCTTTGGGAAGCACAGGCACACCCAGACTGGTGTTTGGGGTTTTTTTAATTCTATCCATGCTGTTCACTGTCAGCTGCTTTGAGGGCTAAAAATACATAGTTCTTCTCAAAATGTGTCCCGTTTTTAGAGGCAGATAACTTACAGATGATTCCTGTGATAGATAAAACCTTCTGGTTGGGGACATGGGTTTGATGCTCTGATGGAGAGCACACAGGGCTCTATCTCGCACACAGGGTGTCCAGGAGGGCACCTAGTTCTCCAGGCAGGAGGGCAATGCCAAGGGGCTGCCAATGTCCAGGAGCTCTCACTCGGGTCGGGTAGGAGCTGCTGCTTCTGCCTCATGCAGCACTGAGCTCCTCTGTGAAGAGAGAGCATCTTCATTACACGTGGCAACAGAGTCAGGAAGATTAATGATAACATTTTATAAAAATTCACACAGACCTGCATTAGAAAAATGCAGATTTGAATTAAAAGGGAAAAGCTGTGTAGGCTTGCCCCAGGCACTGGCTAGGGAGCTGCTGTGCCTGGCCATGCCTGGATGGCCACCCTTGCAGCCCTTTGCTGTTGACTCGGCGGGGTGGGGGGCTAACACGAGGTATAGACAATTGTGGAAGCAATGTTGAAATCGGTGTTTACTGACTGGAGCCATCAGGCAGCAGTAAGCTGACAGCAGCAGCATTTTCCGCTCTGCAGTGACATCCTCCCCATTTCCCCTCTCTCCCTCAGGCACATCTCGCTGACGCTCCCAGCCAGCTTTCGGGGGAAGAGCCACAGCACCCGCCTAGACCTGGAGCACCAGCACTCCAACCTCTATGCCATCTCAGGTGAGCTGCTGCGTGCCACGGCTTCGCCGCTCCCTGCAGGCAGAGTGTAGCCAAGTACAGCGAACCTGCATGTGCAAACAGCCAGGTGTGTGTGTGTGTGACTCACAGAACAGCACCCAGCTTTTGGTCAGTGCTGTTTAACAGTTGAGAGCAGCTGGGGGGCACGGAGACCCCAGAAAAAGCCCAGGCACACGTGTTGCCAGCAGCAGATGTTTCTGATGCCCAGGGGGATTGCAGCCCCCAGGAGGGATGCTGCTGCCTGCTGAGGTGCTAGGTGAGAGCTCTGATGGCAAGGAACACTGACACATTCTTTGCTCCTCATCATTTTGTGGTCTTCACAGATGAGTCACAAGAGACATCTCTGCTGGTTTCACAGGAGGCTTTGTCCTGCCCAGCAAGGATGAGTTTTGAACACAGTGGTCTTTACCACATTGCAGCCCCCAGGAGGGATGCTGCTGCCTGCTGAGGTGCTAGGTGAGAGCTCTGATGGCAAGGAACACTGACACATTCTTTGCTCCTCATCATTTTGTGGTCTTCACAGATGAGTCACAAGAGACATCTCTGCTGGTTTCACAGGAGGCTTTGTCCTGCCCAGCAAGGATGAGTTTTGAACACAGTGGTCTTTACCACCCTCAGCATACTCATTAAGGTGAGACCT